AGAGTAAATTGCATGTTTAGTCCTTATAGTTTATGTGTGATAACATATTAAGTCCATTTTAAAAATTAATTATGAATTATAACCTTATAGTTTGCGATTTATAACGTTTGGGTCCATTTTAAAATTTTCTTTTAAGGGTGTTAGCCATAAAAGATGAGTATATTTTTTTAAGGACCAAAAAAGAAACAACCGTAAACAAGAGACTAAAAATGTAATTCACACTTCATTTTATAAATATAAAATAATAATAATAATATGTCTTAAATTTTTTAAAAGAAAAATAAATTGAGACAAAAAAAAAGATAGAAAAATGAGGGATAAATGAATGACTTAACGAATGGGCTGTCTGGCAGTTGCTGAATAATTTGATGTAAAATGATTAAGTGGTCAGAATAATTAGGAAAAACTCTCATAATATAGTGCAAAATAAAATATAATTGTTTATAACGAAATTAGGGTTCTGAATGATTAATGAAGACTCATGATACAAAATCATTTAGATGGTTTTAAAATCATTAAAAGATAGATTTTTTTTTGTCAAATAAGATTAACCTGTTAATGAAACTATTAAGAGGTTGTTTGAAGTCTCCTTTAATGGTATTAAGGGGTTGTTTGTTTACATATTAATAGTTCTATTAAGAGACAATCTCTGAATCGTTAAAAGGTGAATCTTGTTTGGCAAAAAAAAGTCTACCTCTTAATGGTTTCTAAAACCCTCTGAATGGTTTCGTATCATTGATCTTCTTAACCATTAAGATCTCTAATTTCATTGTATACAATTACCAAACAATTATATTTCATTTTACACTATATCATGAATGCCTCTTAATCATTTTGATTAAGTATCATTCTAACCATTTAACCATTTTACACCAAATTATTCAGTAATTAACAAACAGTCCCGGGTAAAAGTGAGCACTTTGGACTTGAAAAGCATGAAATTTAGACCATCAATTATAGAGACAAAAACCGAAAAGTAGCTATAAACGATGGACCAAAAATGCGATTGACAAAGTGATAAGAGTTTCTTAATAAAAAATGGTAAGAGTTCTGAAACGTGTTTTGCGTGTATGATTTTGATATATCCTTTCAAAATTCAGCCGGAAGTTCCATTTTTTGCAATCGGACAAATCTCACGTTGATCGGAATCGAAAATTTCATCAGCTGCCTGAGATCAAGAACAATAATGACATCAGGTTGTGCTCTCCTGTGCGAAATCCTATTTGCTCTTCTCCTTCCACCTCTCGGAGTTTGTCTCCGGTACGGTTGCTGCACGGTAAATCCCACTACCCAAACCCCCCTTCTGTGTAATTCATTATGTTTGTGAAATGTTAACTGAGATATGTTTATTGTTATTGCAGGCGGAGTTCTTTGTCTGCTTGTTGTTGACTCTACTGGGTTATCTTCCTGGGATAATCTATGCCCTCTATGCCATCGTACTAGTTAATCCAGATCGTGAGGATTACCGCGATCGCTACTATACACTTGCTTAACGAGTATGGTTGTGTCTTAATTTGGATCTGTATCCCTGTCATTATGTGTGATTTATGATCTATCTGGTGATGATTTGCCTTTTATGTAGTTAAATGTTGACTTCTGTATTATGTTTAGTTCTCAATCTATTGATGGTTCTATCTTTAAGCAGTTATTGTAGACGTGTGATTTGGGTGTTTCAATTTGTTTGATTTTGCTTTTGATGATGACTGATTGAGATTTCTGTTAATTGGGGGAAATCAAGGTTGGAAACCCATATGAAATATTCACTGGTTATGGAAATTCAGGGCAGATAACAAACCAAATGGACCCAATATATCCCACTTGAAAGTAGCAAGATGCCCGCAGACCTTACCTCAACCAATAGGATCATTCCAGTCACTTTTGTGGGTTTTTGGTGATTACAAGCCCTATTTGATTATGCTACACTCTGGACTTTTGGGTGTTCTTTTTCTTTTAGAAAGTTGTATCAGCAACCCAAAGGCACCACTAATCCACATGACCGCCGCACAGTCCTACAACTGCGAAAACCCTCCTGTAGGGAGCTTGGTGATGCCACAAGGGTATTTACACCCAATGGGAAACAAACCTAGGAGTAAGATGAACTACCCTTCTTATTGGCATGGTATGCCTTGAACAGCAGCGCAAAGCTAGAGTGTCAACATGGCTTTATTATAACCAAGGTCTGAATCAGAAAGATAAAAGAAAGCATATTATGTATCCTAACACAAAGTTTGTGAGAAGTTTTACTGTGACTTTTGATAATCTGAACAGAAAAGCAAAAAAAAAAAATGAAATTTAACTTAATTACGAGACCCTGATTGATAGAGATGCGCTAGATCCAACTTCGAGCCACCATCACTCATGGGGGTCAAAATCTGGTACAGCCCTGCATGTGTTACAGCATCGGAGCATCCCCTAGAGTACCATGGTTTGATGTTCATCTTTTATTCTAACTTATATCTCTTGCAGCCATGTAATCAAGGATAGGCTGCTTATTAGAAGAAGTTTTCACTCTGCTAATTCTTTGAGAAGTTGAATCAACATTGGAAGTCGACCTGTGAGTTCTATGTGTATGTCCATTATTGTGTCATACTGTTTGCTAACCTTTTAGAGTCTTCGTTGATCAGTGCAGCCATACAAACCACATGTGTTCCGTCCTAAATGCCCTTGTGAACAAAATGCTAGCTATTTCAACACCATATTAGCAATGTGACCAGACCTTATGAAAACAACAATTTGTGCATAAAATGCAATTTCACTCTAGATCTTAACACATATACATAAAAGTACATGGGTAATTATCTTTTATCGACATAGTATCAAATCGTTCCCCTGTTATTAAGACAAGCTGTTAATTCTTCCAACAATATCGTTAGATAATCAGTGTCAATTAAGCTTGGGGTAAAACCGTTAAACATTTCTGTCCATGTACTGAATGGAAAATGTATCTGAAATATTTGTTTAGGAAATGGTTCAGGTAACTGCAGGAAAGTAGGATTAAGAAGGTTGGTATTGCCAGATACAGAGAGGTTCAGTATACCAAGTTATCAAGGTAAAATGATTCTTCGAAACTCAAAATAAACAAGGCAAATATCGTCGGAACAAGAGAAGTTAAGCTAACACTTGGATAAATGTTGACTTTAGCAAGGGAATCGTAAGACTTGAGCTATAGCTTGAATGCTCGGTCCTTCCTAGCTTCCGCACATTTGTCCAGGCGCTCTTGTTTCTTTTCTTGTTTTGCAAATTGGGGATATTCACGGAAACGGTCTCTCTAGACCCTATCTCTGCTTGTGATTTACTGGGTCTGTTTGGTCTGCTATGCAGAGCTTGGAGTAGGAGATTCGGTTTGTTAAAGAGGAGGGGGGTCGTAAACATGATGGACCTTGTGTTCATTCCTATTGATCCTTCCTTGTGTTAGATACGAAGACTTCTTTGTTTTGGGAAAAAGGGGACTGAGTCGAACCCCTTGGAAGACCTTATTCAATCAGATATGTAGATTGAAGAATGAAGACTTGACATGTGGATATGCTCGGGACGTGGGGTTTTATTATGGTTAGGACCTCGGGATTAGTTACTTAAACTGACAAAAAGTGGATTAAAGTCAACGTTTGTAAATGGATTTGAGATCGACAACCTCCTAATTTAACCTCAAACCTAGTTCGAACAAAAAGTAGATTAAAGTCGGGTGTTACTTTACCTGACAAAAGTTGATGTATCTGTTAGGTCGTTATTGAACATATTTTTAGTGTTTAATTGTTTTAAAATTTTAAACACATCAATCTCTGATACACGAGGCGTCCCAAAAGTATAGTCCTTGCTACATGCCTCTAAATCGAGCACCAAGTCAACTCTTCCTGGTGACTCCACCACTATAACCTCATATACGAGTCAACAAGAAAAAGTGTTACATACATTTACAAGTCTACGGAATCCAAACATTTTACATAATGTGTAAATCTTATTAATTTCACGAAATCATTTTACTTGAACACAAGTTCGTCGACCTTAATGTTACTATTCTTGACGCTCTCATCATCTGTCTCTTAATGTTGGCTCCATCTCAAGACGAAGGAGGATACCCGTGTACCATTGAAAGTGATGAGAACACAAAAACATGCCAGCAAGTCAATGTTGCCTTGTAGCACCTCAAGGACTCAATGCCTTAGTACCTACGGACCTTCAACTGAGTTTCACGTCTAGATTTGACTGGCCTTAATGCCTATTCTTACGAATATCACCTCAAGACTCATGTCCTTAATGCCTATCCCTTTGGATAGCACCTCAAGGATCATAGTTCTCAACGCCTACCCTTTTCGGTAACATTTCGAAATTCAATAACCTTAATGCCTTTTTGAAGTTTCTACAACCATTATCCTCTAAAAGAAGGGTCAATTCTCTCATGGGTACAGAGATTTACAATTTGCAACAGTTAAATAAACATAGAGGCATTCACCTTCATCAAATAAGCAGTTATTATTAAAAATAACCTGATAGGTTAACAAATCCCAAATCCTTACATCTCATGAAATCCCCCATGTATGATTTATCACCATACTGTAAATAAAATGTATATTTCCCCATGTATTTGCACCATATGAACAAGCAAAGCAAAACCTTCCATTATTGGAAAGTGACCTCAAGATTTATGCTAGAGAGAGAAATCTAGTAATACAAATTACAAAGTAGGGCCTAAGTTCTCCTTGAAGAATGCTTAAAGCATCAACCACCACCTTTCGATGGTGGTTCCAGTCCAAGCCTTAAATGGCTAAGAAAAGCCCTAAATTTCACCCTTAAATATACTTTTAACGAAGAGAGGAGGAGGAGAAATGAGTTGGATGCCAACCCTTAGCCAAATGGCATTTAAGTTGATCAGCTACCCAAATCACAACCTTGGACGCGACCTAAGTCGTGAGCCAAGTTGCCTGCCCCATGGCCCGTGCCATATAGAGGCATACGCGACCTTGGCCGCGACTTGAGTTGTGGTCCAAGTCATGTGTCTCTCTGGAGTATGAGTTGTGTTTAATGGCTTATGTGACCTTGGTCGCAAACCTAAGTCTAGGTTACCCGCCGACCTCCTTTCTCGCTACACTCCCCCCCCCCCCCCCCCGGGGACAATAAACTTAAATATTCAATTATAAATAAATTTATACAATTATGTTAATGCTACAAGTTAGTTTAGTTTAACCCAGAAACAATATCCGTTAAAATTATGAGTTTTTTACGTAAGAAGGGATAAAATGTGTTTAATATTAAGTTGTTTCCGCTATAACGTAAGGTTTTGACCTCATTATCAAATCATATTCTGGTTTATTACTATGTTTTTGCGGTGAATGACAACTTGGATAGTGGATGTCTCATTAGTACATTTATGATTACATATGAACAAGTCAACAAATCTCGATTCGTGTTATGCGATTTCATTTTTTGGTTTAGGGATCTGTGATTTGTGATTTCAGGTCGTTGGACTGTTGGTTCTCTTTATGGGGGTTTGGTGCAATTTCTTGAAATTGTTCAACATAAATAATAACGTGTCGATATTTTTATTTCTTGCTCTTCTTTTTTTTTCTTAATTACTAATAAACAAAAATAGAAAAAGTTTTAGTGAATTTTGATGGTTGTTTTCGATAAAGAAAAAAATGATCAATCGTAGACTTCGATTGCCTCAACGATATTAAACGGTATTATTCCTTGTCACATAATATCTATGTTTACAATCTAAAGTCAAGATAATTTATATAATATCTATGTTTACAATCTAAAGTCAAGATAATTTATATCGATGTGGCACGAAGACCTCTTACAATGTGATACACAATGGGAAAATAAGAACATAACATCATTTAAAAAATTCAAAAACTTGACAACATTTAGAATGTGTTTTACACTTGCTTTTAAGGCTATTATATCTATACTATATTATAAAGCGTTTGATAAAAATTTGTAAAAACTATTTTTATGCATTAAGTATTGTTTATTGCATTATCAATGCATCTTAAAAAAATAGAGTACATTACTTTTTTCGTCCCCATGGTTTTTTAACAATTACGAGTCTTGTCCTCATGATTTTGAAATTCTAGTTTTCGTTTATATGATTTGTAATTCATTGTTATTTTCATTTCTTCATTTCTGATAGCTGATTTTACCTATTAAATGTATACGGTTAGTCGATACTGGTTTATGTAGAAAAAACTTGATGATTACACTCTTCAAGTCGCAAATAAAAAATGCCAAAAAACAGCACGATTTTCAGAAGAAAAAAAAAAGAGAAATCTTAGAATCATCTAAAATCGAGCGCAACATTACAACCAAAATCCTTAAAAATCATATAAGAACTTCTCAAACAATGGCTGTTCATCTGCATCTAAGCACACTGCCAATGACATACTCCTATCATTGTTTGGGCTTGGTAGCACATAAATGGTACCCTCGTACAATATGCATGCGGGTCCCATGAAAACCGGCCGCCCCCACCCAAAATCCGCATCGTGCACTGGCAGCCGAGTCCATGTGTTTATGTTCAGGTTTGGACTTGCAAAGTAACTTGGACCTCGAATCAAAGCTGATAGATCTGGCTGCACTTCAAGGTAGTCGATAGCAGATCTCAAATAGTTGTTATCCATTTTTGTCAATGTGGTTCGGATTAACGAAGCTGCATTAGACAGCGATTGAGTTGTTAGGTCACCGGATTTGGCAACTGGGGTGGTGGTGAACACCACGTTGCCTAGGTAGCCTGGCGGGAGTTGGGGGCTCAATCTGGACCGTCCATCTGTGGCCACGTACAATTTGGTTAGTTGATCATCAGGGAGTCCACGAGCCTTGCACGCACAGCGCCATAGATGAGCAGCTAGGATCTCGTATGTGCTGTAGGTGGTGTTGCTGCCATCGTTCTTGGCTGAGGCTTTGAGAACATTGAGTTGATCAAGTGTGAGCTTTAAAACGGTGGTGGAAGGTTTCCGACTTGATTCAGGGTTTTGGGAGATGGTTTTCATGGACGGAGGAGCGTGGTACTCGATGTGGTCAAAAGTGGGGGTAGGTGGTTCACGTGCACGAAGCAGGGTGCGGTCAATGAATGGCGGGATGGCGATGGAGAGGCCTCGAGCCATATCAGACCATGTGTTGATGAAATGGATAGAGGATAGACCATCTGCTAGAGTATGAAAGACCCCACAACCAAGAGCAACTCCCCCACACTTGAAATGGGTTACCTGATCACAACAATACATAATGATAAACAACAATTAGATAACACATGGACACATCATTCAACGAACCATAAAAGCTCACAGAATTGATAATAAGTCGGGATCTTCACGAAAACAATAACATGAAACAATTTTTCTCTTCAGGATAGATGTCAATATCATGTTAGCATATATCCTACCCTCCAAACTCCATCTTCGAGTGGGATATACAGGATTTGTTTGATTCGGTTTTATAAGAAATATCCACTTGGGAGCATTGACTTTCTTAGTTTCTCCGTTGAATCTCATTTGACTTTAGAAAGTCAAACGAGTTTCTGGCAATAGATGCAACCGAATGATAAGGATGGAATTTATACTCGAAACACTCCAAATTACAATTGATTTGAACAAATCCAACCATCTTCATATAACACGTTTCCATCCCAAAAAGACATTTTTCGCAGGCTAGTGGTCTTCACGTAAAAAAGTCTATATACTCCTTCGAGTAGAGGTAACGTATGCATATATTTTACCCTTCCTAAACGTTACTTCGTGTGGAATTTACTAGTCAACGCCATTGCCATGTGGGTTGTTTCCAAAAGTGAAAATTAGCATTTAACACTCACCAAATTCTTTATTAGCCTCGAAAGCTTTATGAACCCATAATAATTTCTAGGGTCCCATCTAAACAGTATAAAAAACCTTTTATGAGCTTTCATACAACCCCATATACATTTCTAGCCCCCTGCCTAATTTCTTTAACGAGAAATTCTACATATACTTGTTAATGTTATCATGTACATGTCAGATCACATTTTAATTGACCAATGTGTTGTCTCTCTCATCATGGTCTTCCAAATCAGGCAATCATAACATAAGGAAATTTGAACGCTTTGATCTAAATGAATCTTTTTGTTAACCTCAACTAGCGATTTACGAGGAGAGGATCCCTAAAGATCCAAGTCTGATCTAAATAATCTTGATTTCGTTTAAAATTGAATTATGTGTTTTGCATCTTAGAAATGGGCATTGAAAACCACAAGGGTTGAGGCGTTGAGGGGTGTGATGGAATATCTCATCTGTCCAGAGTTCGATTCAAGACGCATACAACAATTCTGGGCTGAGGACTGAAATTTTACGGTCACAATTTGTCAGGATTAGTCTAGGCACAACGTAGGAAACCAAATCAAGAACATAATGGTTGACCACAGCTGACACTTTATTCCTTTATTAGGACAAGGAAGTTGGTATTGCAAGACAAAATCTGATCGAAAACCCAAGAAATTTATTTCAGAGTATTAGATCTGATGACATGTGGGATCTGTGGAGCTGTCAAACCCATTAATGGTCTTTAAAAGTAATCCCATGTTATCTATGCATTCCAGGTGCCAAAACATGAAATTGTTCAAGTCCGGGACTGTATATGTATAAATATTAGTTAAAGGACTAAAGTTGAAGGTCGAGGTATGTTCAGGGACTGTTTATGTAAATTTAGAGTTCTAAAGCAGAGTAGCAAGCAGACTCGTGAAGGACATAATACCTGTGCAAAAAATAATGGGTAGGAAGAAATGTCGCCGGAGTAGTCAACAGTCGGAGTAAGACGTCGAAGCTCCGGAGACGGCGTGAACTCACCGAAGTCATCCAAGGTGGAATCCGACTCTGCCTCGACGAACAAAACACCTTCTCCATTACAATTAATTTCAAGTCTGCCATTCTGATCCCTGCTAATTCGACCGGCCATCGGGTAGAAGGAAACAAGCACATCAGCCAGCGCCTTCTTCATGACGTCGGCATCGAAGAAATTGGAAGCACCATTTGGACGGTAGAAATAGACAGTCAAAATATGGATTCTCCCCACAACCAAATCCAAATTAGAGGTCCATATAGTAGAAGATGGCGTAGGCTGGGAAGGTTGTACAAATGACGAATGTTTTATATTGATGTTCATCAGCTTGTGATGCTCATTGGGCACGGCTATGGTTGCCTGATCACTCCCCATGGTTGATTAGGGTTTGAAGAATGGAGGAAGAGAGAACACACAGAGAGGTGTGATGAGAGGTGCGTGTATTTATATTGAAGGGGAAAGTGGGTAGGTACGCTTTGGGAAGATGACAAATGGTACACAATTTAGATTCATCTACTCTCCATTATTCAAATAACTGAACCCAGTTTTACACCATAATTAAATCTTAGAAATCCAATAAAATATATTATTTTGATTCGAATTTTATTTTTAAAAACTTTATATTAAATTTTTTATTTCGAAGACATTTCGATTTTTTAAAAAATGACTTTTTGTTTACAAAATTGTTTTACACTTTTTTATTTCAAAAAGTCGTCGTATGTTAAAAAAAACCCATGTGTATATGTACTTCATTAAATTGTTGTAAAAAAGGAGAATCTCATAAAGAAAAAAAAAACGGATCAAAAAGTGGGGTATCGATGATAGTGGTCAAAACCGGCGTTAGGCAAAATGGAGAACGGACAATGATGGGACAGGGAGGGGTTTTTAGAATTTTGATAACTAAATCATAAGTGTGGGTTGTGTTGATAATCAATCTCATATATGGGGGTTATTTTGGTATTAATGCATTTTGGTGTATTTGGTTTTATAAACTGTTTAGAAAATGCATGTTATTATGTTATGAGGATTTTGGAAACATGAAAGTATGATTTCATTTGGAAAATGGTTCGCCATAACCAATGATGGGTTTTGACGTAATAATGGTATATGTTTGCATGAACATCAGCTAAATACATTTTATGGAGTTATGTTGGATTTTATTGAGTAATCACATAAGTGTTAAGTTATTGTGTTTGTCACTCGGTTTTGACTCAGATGAGTCTTGGGGACATTTGTCCGATTTGAATTGCTCTATCTTGAGCTTTTTGGGTATATGCATTTATAGCATTTTTATATGTAAAATTACATGTTTGAGTGCTTTGGTCATTCATTTGGAGTCATGTAATTTAAACTATGCATTGGAAAAAGTCAGTCTTGTGTTGATGGTCGTGAGGGTATTGCGTGGTTGAACTCCGGGACCGTTTTTTCATGACCTTAATCTTGTCAAATAGGCACTAGGAGGGTTGAGTCCGGAAGTGCATGTCTTGGTGACACACCAGGATCTCCACCGCTTGAGGTGTTCCGTTTGAGGTAGACACTAGGTGGGCCGAGCCTTGAGGTTGGAATTCGCAAAAATGGACACTAAGGTCAACCGACTCTGGAGGTGAAACTTGTTGAGAAATCGTAGGAACATTTGCGACTTTAAGTCTCAAAGTGTTATGCGATTAACGTTGTACGAGTGACACACTTATGTGTTCCCATAACGCTCAACGGATACAGGTCTCCATCGTGGTTGTTAAACGTTGTTTTGATAGTGTATTATCCATGTTTTAATATTACTTGGGTTTTGACAAGTAACCGTAATTTATTATGATTTTGATATATTGGATCCCCTCCATATATTAAAGTTTCGGATAAGGGGTTATTCTCATGTTTTTGGTATTTGGATTTTAAACCTATTTGTAATCCGTGTGAGTATTGGGCTCCAGTTCATAATTGTTGAGGTATTTCATTTAAGTGTTTTATCACAAAAATGGTGGTTTTGAGAAAGATATTCTTTTTTATTCTGAATGCATTTTATTGTTAGAAATTGTGATTTAAATAATATTCTTTCCTTTTTACCGCTTTATATAATAGCTGAAAACTGCTTGAACTCACTAGGCGTTAAACCTAACATTTTTTTTTTTGTTGCCATGTGCATCAGGTCTTTGTTCAAGTATGGTTCTAACTAGGGGCACTCAAAAACCCGACCAACCCGATCAACCCAACACGAAATAACTCAACCTGATATCTAATCGAGTTGTAAAATTGTCAAACCGTAGGTATTAGATTGATATTGGATTACTATTATTTGAACTCAACCCGATGAACCTGATATCCTTTTATTTCTTGGATTTAATATGATTGTTGAATTTTTATTAATATGTACATTAGACAATTACACTATCATGTATGCTTCTCATATACACATATTTTCAATCTATTCATATCTTTATATATGTTCAGTAACTGTGAACATATATATATATATAAATTGAGAAAATTAACTTAATGTGATATATGTAAGAAGTATGAATAAGTTGTATCAAATCATCAAATGGTTGATGATGAAAAAGAAATTATGAGTAGAAAAAGAACATATTATAGGTTAGAAGAATATTTCAATATACCAAAATATCAACCCAACTAACCCGTACGGGTTGGGTTGGGTTGCACTTTGGTTCAGGTCGGCTTGGGTTAATTTTTTTCAAACCGCAAGTATTAGGTTTTGTTGTTCAAATGTCTTCAACCCGATCAACCCAACCCATGAGCACCCTAGTTCTAAAACATGAATCGGAACAAAACACATACCACTTTGATGAGATTTGTCGTAAATGTATTATTGGAAAATTGTTAGATTTCTTTCGACTTCTATCCTACTCAAGAGCATTACAATATTTAATACACCTTATTTTCTTTTATTTCCAGCTCGAGAAAACCCAAACAAAAATTACGCTTTCCTTTTGTTTTCTATCATAACTTGAATTTTTTTTCTCTTCGAATTAAATGTCAATGTTAAAGTTCGTTCGTAAAAGGATGTTTAGTGGTATTTGAATTGAAAAATAGGTACGTAAAAATAATAAATTTATTCTTTGTACTACACCAGTTTCATATTATGGGATTCAAATCCGTTGAAAACTATTCATGTAGATATAATGTAACAACTCGTCCCACATGGATATAAAATGAGATCTGTGAGCTTCTTATAAGCCTCAACTTGTTGGCTACCAATAACTTTCACCATAGTTTTAAGTTGAATCTGAAGTTATTGAATCAGTCGGTTGCTTAATACTTTGGAATGTCCCGTATAGAGATAAAACGTCTGATGTATTATTGGTCATCATGTTTAATGCTATAGTATTCGTAAACGTATCTAAGTAAGAAATGTACAGATGGGCTCAAATCTCTTGATATGTACTACCACCTTGTTTTGTGGTCCCATTGTTTCTCGTAAAAGGAGATGTTTGACTGTTTATAAGCGTACGTCGATATGGTTTACTCAGATCCACTAACGGCAAAATTGAACAATCTTACCAACCGATCCTGTCAATAGTATTTTGAAATCATCAGAAAATGGTAAATGAATAATATTGCTTTAAAGCTTAATAAAAGATGGATTGTTACATTTACTTTTTAGAAGAAATTGAATAAAAATATTTGAATTAAGTTAATAATACAGTTTATTTATTTCTTAAATAAAAGCATACACAGCTCAATTCGATCCAAGGTTTGCACCTCCTGGTGGTCGAAATAGACTTTCTACCAATGGATTTGAATTATTCGCTTCAATCATGGTTTATTCTAGATGCCACCTATGTGGATAATTATGATTTGATTAGAAAACTGGCTTCAACGGTTTCCTGCAGCCCATGCAATAAACGATAATAGACAAAAAGAAACATAAGAAGTTACGTGAAAAACTCCAAAACCGAAGAAACACCAGAAAGAAAAACACAATTCACATCTTTCTACACTCACAGTAAATAAAGAATAAAATAGGGAAAATTGCACTAAAATGGAACCAACTCTCACCTAATTCTTATTTTGGGGAACCAACTTTTAAAATCGTCATTTTGGGGAACCAACTTGCACCTGATTCCTATTTTGGGGAATCAACTTGCAAAATAATTATAGAAAAATAACTAAAAATTCGTTTTTTTCCAAAAATTAATGCAATAAAAAATATTTTTCATTTCAAATCTCGTTTTTTTAATTCAGATATCAAATTGAACATTTAAAAAAAAATTCGAATTACCACAATAAAAATTGTTTTTTACTAATGCAAAAAAATTAATTTAATAGAAAAAATTTAATTGATGCAATTGATTAGATATAAAAATCTTGAATGTGATATTTAATATTGATTTTTTATTGCATGAATTAATTTTTTTCTATTAAATTGATTTTTTTGCATTAGTAAAAAAATAACTTTTATTGTGGTAATTTTTTTTTAAATGTTCAATTTGATATTTGAATTAAAAAAAACGAGATTTGAAATGAAAAATAGATTTTATTGCATTAATTTTTGGAAAAAAACGAATTTTAGTTATTTTTCTATAATTATTTTGCAAGTTGGTTCCCCAAAATAGGAATCAGGTGCAAGTTGATTCCCCAAAATGACGATTTTAAAAGTTGGTTCCTCAAAATAGGAATCAAGTGCAAGTTGGTTCCTCAAAATGTCGATTTTAAAAGTTGGGTTCCCCAAAATAAGAATTAAGTGAAAGTTGGTTCCATTTTGGTGCAATTTTCCCAATAAAATATTTAGTATATTTTATTGGAATGATTTGAAACCCAAGTCTCGAAACTCTTTTATAGAATCCCCGTCACATTTTCTTGCTCAATCAATATGGACAAACCTTCCAAACTTATCTTTTATTTTAGCCAAATAAATCTGAACGTAATCTACTTCAGTGCCACCATTTTAAGATATGATACTCGCTCGATCTTCATTTTGGACAATCTCTACGTCTTAGCTCTCCCGAAATAGAACACAACCTCATAAATAATTAACAAACAGGTTAATATTTATATCGGAAAACAATGAACAACACACTTTTTCCCGACAACAATTTTATATTTATTTATATTACATAATAATTTTTTTTGATTAACCTGAATATTCAACTCGTTATGTGAGCCGACTAATCCCAAGGCGACCACCCGCAAACCACCGCATTTGAACCTTTGTGGCTATAAGAGGATTTTTTATTTATTCTTGGATTTTCGAACCTGGGACCTCCAGACACTTTTGAACTTTGTAGACCAACAAGCTTAAACCAATCGGACACTACCATTTTTACATAATTATTTTGCACCCCATAAAAAGAATTCTAGATACACCCTAAATATCCATAATACCATAATTTTGTTATGAAAACATATGAATATAAATAAATAAAATTTGAATCAAAACTTTTGATAATAATAGC